ATTTTAACACTCTAACAATTGCAATACATTTCTACTTCTTTAAGTGGTCTTAAGTCACGGTGAAAGCGGTATAATTGGAATAAAATGAGTTTTATACATAAATCGGAAACACTTTATCGTCGTTATAATGCAATTAAAGCACGCCAAGGAGCGATGGACATTGTAGCTGTATTCACCAACGTGTAATATGAAAATACGAAGAAAAAAAAAATTAAGTATTTACAGAATTTCGTCATGTATACAGAAAATATGAAAAGGGATAAGTAATATTCAAACAGTTAATTAATTGTTAAATATGGTTAAATTATATTACTCAATAGGATTTTGTCACATCGCACCTTGTTCTGGGGCAATTATTAAAATAAAGCCATAAAATTTAAGGCAAACCTACCCGTGATTAATGTTTCAACGATGTACTCGCATTATTCCTTCTAACGTAACTGCCTTATCCATGTACGCATTATACACGATCGTAATTTGTACCGATAGATATTTATCGAATCACTATGAATTAATCATTGAACACTACGCAATACTCTTACACAAATCAGTAGCCACAACACCCAAACGCAGCCATCTTGCACTGGATTTTGTTTCGTTTTTCTACTGTGAGGATGCGTTCCAATTCCGTATATTCCACTGTTTCTTTTTCACAATAATTTTTCAGTGGCAATTAAAAAATTCGAAAAATAATTTAAATTGTGCATCTTGTTTTAAGGGAATAGAGAAATAAGTCAAAAAAAAAAAAAATGAAAAGAATATTTGAGTTTTGTACAATTTGTAATGTTAAAACCAATTTGATTTTCCGGAAACACAGCTACTTTATTTCGTTAATATAGATTTTTTAAAATAGATCTCTTACATAATTATTTGATAATTAATGACGTTAAGAAATTGAATATTGCAAGTTATAGATCAGAAATGTTTATAATTTTGTAATTTTACAATTATCGAAAGGATAACCTTACGATTTGTAATTTTTAAAATTTACTTTAAAAGATTTGTTTATTTTACCATACTTATGTTATATCAATATTTTTAATTTTAGTTTAATTTTAATTTAAGTTTGAATTTATTAATATAATATGATATAATTTATTAATATAATATTATAATAATATGATTAATTAGTAATAATGACTTAGAATTTATAAAACAAATTATTGTTTACTTATAAAAATTTGAATTTGGAGGAACAATATTTTCGAAGTTTAATTTTTTTATTGCTTTTAGTATTTTATTATTATTTATAAATTAAGAAAAAAATAATATATGAAATATTTATTTAAAATCAAGATTTATATTTAACTATCAGCATCAACTATTATTCGTGCAAATAATATCTTTTATCTTTATTAACGTCTAGTTATACATGTCAATGTTACGTCGTGTTTTTCCAACTTTTGCGCAATCAGTTTCCACTTTGATAGTTTTATATTTGAATAAAGTCAAATATACTGCAAAGATGTCTAAAAAAACGGCTCTTTTATTAATAGCTGATGGTTCTGAAGAAATGGAAGCAGTAATAACAACGGATGTTTTACGACGAGTTGGAGTAAGTATTTTTATTGCATATAACCTTAAATGTATATTTAAATAAAATTGTACTACTTATCAAAAAATCGCTTTCTTTCTTTCAAATATTAACTAATACTGATTTATTTTATAAACAAATGTCCTTGAAAAAACTATGCAAACTTCGATTATTAAAAATTTTATTTTTAGATTAATGTTACTGTTGCTGGTCTTACTGAAAACCCATGTGTCAAATGCAGCCGCGATGTAAAAATATGTGTTGATGCAAAACTTTCAGATGCAATTAATCAGAAATATGATATTGTAATATTGCCTGGTGGTCTAAATGGTTCTAAGGCATTCGCAAATGTAAATAAAATTAATGTTTTTCGTAATAAATGTATATGCTAATTATTTTTTTCTTTTGCCTTGAATAGTCTTCAGAAATAGGAAAATTGTTACAACAGCAAGAACAAGAAAACAGACTTATTGCTGCTATTTGTGCTGCACCAACTGCATTAAAGGTTCATGGTATTGCAAAAGGAAAGAAGATCACATCTTATCCTGCAATGAAAGATCAACTAACAGATTATTATAAATATTTGGAAGATGAAGTTGTAATCGATGGTATGCATCTATTTATAGAATTCTGTTTGAAAAATATTTTATTTGTGAAAATTTTTATTTATAAGTATTATAAGTTATATTTATTAATATGTATTATTTATTGAACTCATAAGTATTATAAGTTTTATATATATTATAAATATTTTAGGTAACTTGATTACAAGCCGAGGTCCAGCAACTGCATTTGCTTTTAGTTTAGCTATTGCTGAAAAATTGATTGATAAACAAACAGCAGATAATGTAGCAAAAGCTATATTATATAGAAATTAAAATATGCTTACATAAGCATGTTATATATTTAAAATACAGAAATTAAAATATCCTTACATAAACACATATACTATTCATAGTGAATAATTATTTATATTATTTATATTGTTTATTCAAATTTAATAAATTAATATACATTATAATTAGTTATATTTCTATTCAAACTACCCGCTGGAATGGTTGCCATTTTAATTAAATTTCTTGAAAGTTCGCCATATTTATTACTACATAGTCAATGGTTAAAATATTTGACATTTCACAAATATCGAGACGAAATATCGAATGTACTATATATTTGTTATTATATTAATCTTTAAAATAAATAACAATAAATGTTATAAATTAAAAATATATTAAAATAAAGCTTAATGTTTGAGAAAAATGTTTGAAAGTGATGATTGGGATCTTGATCAGGTAAATTAAAAGAATATTTGGAGAAATAATATACTTTATATTATAAATTTTATAATTATAAAAAAAAATTTTAATATTGTTTAATATTATTTCATATTATTTTATGCTTTTAATCATATGTATATAAAATTTTTTTTATACTTTTAATCATATGTATATAAAATTTATAATATTTTTATAAATTGTTTTCATATCATAAAATAACAAAGCAATTGTATAAATAATTCTTTTAGGAATTCTTGAATGATGTAGATAATAAAACAAATAAATATTATTCTCAAAAGGACAATCAAGAAAGTGAACCTAAAAGACGTAAAATAGAAATGAACAATGATCTAATATCTTGGGAAGAAAATAGCTTAAACAAAATTACAAAGAAATATGATGAAAACAAAGATTTAAGGAAACATTTAATTCTTGGGATATTTAATCAGAATTTACAAAATAAGAATGAATTTAAAGATGCATTAAATGATCCAAAAAGAACTTGTAACAACGCTTTATCAAACATTTCTTTTAATCAAATACAAAGCTATAAAAATAATCAATTATCTAGGAAAAATTTAGTACTTGGAATTCTCAAAAATCAAACTGCACAGAATGAAGTTATAAAAAATGATATAAAGAATTTAGAATTAAAACAAACAGCGTCGAAAATTGATGAAAAAACAGAAAATACATCATGTAATAATGAAATAAAACATCAAATCTCTAAAGCTATTTTTGGAATTCAAAATAGGTCAAGCAATGATAATTCTAACTCATCTTTATTTGAGAATTCAAAACAACAATTATTGGATAATTTATTAAAGCAAAAGTCTATCGATAATATACAAGCCAAAAATGATATTATAAAAAACAATTTCTTTGTATTTAAATTTCCACAAGTACAGTCTAATAAAAAGATGGCACTAGTCAGAAAATTTCCTGGTCCAGCTGGATTATTACCAGATGATATAGACTCTAATACATGTGTTTCATATTTAAATAGTTTAGAAGAAAACGAGATAATGAATAAGGAGACTGATTCAAATTTATCTGAATATTGTTCTCAAAATACAAAAGATTTGTTTACAGAAGGTGCTTGGCAATTAATGTTGAATGATTTGCCAGATGATTTTTTGAAAGGTCATGATATCGCTACAATTAAACAAATAGCAAATATGACTGGTTTCAATAGTACAAAAATTGAATTTTTGGCAGGAATAGTAGAACATATAGATTATAGTCATGATAATCCTCCTATTGTTTTGAAAGATTTCACAGACAATATTCATGGGATTGTGCACAAGAATATACCACTTAAATATCCTGGTTTATTAGAATGTAATGTTGTTGTCCTATTACATGATGTAGGCATTTTAAGAATCTCTGGAACGTGTGTTTCAAATAAATACCAAATTTTAATTTCACCTTCTAGTTTATTAGGAATTTATACCAGTAAAGGTATAATAAAACGTACAGAATATATGGAAGCAATTTTTGAAAATATTTCAAAAAAAAGAACAAAAACAGAAGAAAAAGATTGTGCTACTGCAATGACTTTAAAGGTACATTCATTAGAAAATGATGATCAATTCATTATGGAAAATACATGTAACAGTAAGAAATCAATAAATTTCAAAATCAATATAGAAAATAGTAATAAAAAAGATACAAATTTTTCTACAATTCTGAATAAAACAGACAAGAATGCAAACGGACCGATGAATTTTGATACTGATTTATCTTTTTCAGTTTCTTTCAATAAAATTACAGATTTACAAAATCAAAAGAATTTTAATAGTTCTACGTCCAGAAATTTAAAATATGTCAAAGAAGAAAGTAAAGAACAAAGATTTAAAATGTTATTACCAAAACAAGATACACAGAATAACAATGAAGAAAAAGTTACAGATTTATTAAAATCTATAAGAAAATTTGCTCCAAATACAAGTGAAAAAAAATGTCTTTCTCACAATTTCAAACAAATAAATACTTCTCCTAAACAGAGTGTATTTGATAAATTAAACAATATATTTTCTGAAAAAGTGGATATTGATAAATGTTTGGAGGAAACTGCTTCTTCAATTTCTTATAAAGAGATGAAAAGTTCTCCTTTTGTACGATCTAAATTACTACAATTTAAAAATGTAGATACATTAACATCTCCAAAAAATTCTGCATCCATAGTTATACTAGATTCGAAGAAAATATGTGAAAAATTATCAGAAAAAGATCTTTCCAAAACTTCAAGTTTTATGTGTAATGCAATTAACAATATTGAAAATGACTCTGACGATGAAATGTTATCTCAATTAGACATGGGTCAATTAGATTATTTTCAGTAATAACAATAAAAATTAGATGTCTTTGATATTACATCATGGACAATTTAGTTATCTGTGAAAATTGTGATTGAAGTAATAAATATTCTTATATCAAAAAATTTTGAAAGATTTTATATTTCTATAAATTTACATCACGTTATTTAAATGCCACTTTGCAAAGATATTTGTATATATTTCAATTTTTATATAAAAATTAAATTAAAAATTATCTTTTATTCAAAAGCATTGCAAAAATTTTTCAATAGTGACATGATAATATAAAACATATTAATGAAATGACATATTAATAATTTGATAAGTATTAATTTATTATTGAAATATTTTAGCTTTTTCAAATTTATATATGGGTATCCCAGTTTTTTAAAATTAAACGTTATCAATCTATTCTATGAATCAAAATAAGTCATATAAGAAATGTTATATAAACATACATACATCATTGCGAATATGAAATAAACGATAACAGACATATGTTACTATAGTGCAATATATGAATAGATCATGAATACTTACATTTAATGTGTAATAGTCATAAATTGTTATAAATTGCAATTTCAAGATCTCTTATTCCATTAAATTTTTATCTCTAAGAAGTTTTGAAGGATAAAGCGTATCAAGTGTATTAATATGTGTGACGAACTGATCTGAAAAATTATTCATTCGCTGAATTGAAATAAAATGAAAATAATTTTCAAAGCATAAATTCTTTTATCACTGCCAATTTTTGATAGGCATGATGAATATTTTAAAATGAAGTTTTAGTTTTAGTAGAAGTATTATAATACCTTCTGACAACTATTAAATATAAGTTTTCCATATGTATCATTTATTCATACATATATATGCATATTGTAGTAATGCAAGTTCATTACCTGATCATTGTCTATTTCGGATATCTTTTCTTTGTAATAATTAGATTTCATGCAGTTTTATATTTTTATACACATAATTAGGCAAATAGAGACATAAGTAGATATTTGTTTCCTCTATTAAATATACCTTATTCTCGATATTTTATATATTTTTATATGTATACTGTTTGTACTTTCTGCGTTTTTGCATATTTAAATTTTTCATAAATGCATAAAAACCCGTAGAACCATGTTTGCAATATCTTTTTCTTACTTTTTGTTTTGTTTAAGATGTACATATTTCACTACTACAAAATTACCAATTAAAAATAAGATACTAAATTGTTGCTGTATCATTGCAGCATTGAATATTCCAGGTATTATTGTTTCATAATTCAACATTCTCCATGATTAATTTTCAGATAAAAGATGCTCTATAAACGTAATTAGTAGCTTTAACAAACAAAACAGAATAAAAATGGTAATTACTCTTTTTTTGATAATAAATCACAATATCCAATTGTAAATCGATAATTATCGGAAGATTCTTTAAAAACAATTCAAAATATCAATTATATTATATATTTTATGATATATCAAGCTAATTATTTTTTATTTGAATGTTTCGAATTTATGAAAATTTCGTCGAAAGAAAGGTAGCGAATGAAATATATAAGCGATTAGATACTTTGAGAGTATTCGAATATAGACTTGCATCAGCAATGATCTCAATTTTGCTGACATTAGCCTGGATATCAGCCTTCGCTGTTCATAAGCGTAGGATCAATGATCCAGAATTGTTATAGGTGAGATCTTTATATCATGTACGCCAATGGGAATCTATTAAATCAACCTTGATATGCCCTGATTATCCGATAGTAGGCATCTAGGCGTGTGATTATGAAGTAAAATTTACTTGTATTAGTTATGTGAGATAACTGCGTTATGATAAAGTTATACATATAAGCATTTATGAGTGAATGTATGCTAAATAATAACTAATTTGCAATTATACGATTCGTTAATTAAATCAATCAATAACAAAATAAGAAAAGAACAAATACAATATATACAATATATCACCTTGTCGTGATACAATATATACAATACAATACATTGTCGCGAATAGTGAAAATGATGCTCCATTTTACTTTGGATCTTAAAGATTCACTCTTTCCTCTTTCATTTCTTTTTTTCATAACTGAGTTCACCGAAAATATTTAAGAATTTTTATTTAAATTTTTTTCTTTGTATTATGAAAATAAAACATTTTCATTATACTTTACCTGAAAAATGTTTTTCTATATGCTAATCCCATTATTTTGATAGATTTTATGTTTAAATAAAATAAAATGTTTAAATTAAATAAAATTTAGTCATTAGTTATTTTTAATCTCGTTTTCAGTATAACAAAAAATTCCATCCAATTACATATTTACATAAAATTTCAAATAGAATCATAACAATTTAAAATGACAGTCAAAAATTTTTACAGTCTTATTTTATAATTATAGAATAATTTGTGGTTTTTCAAATATATATGGATAATTTTTTAAGAATGTTTCTTTCTTCATCCTCTTAACTTTAGTAGTTTGTGATTTTTTTTTTTTAATAACGTATAGTTTAAAACATATATGTGTGTAAGTAATATTTCATTACTTATACTGAGCATATGTGTTTAGCATATGTATTGTTATGTTCCTGCACAACATAATCTGCACTATACATAAATTTAAAAGGATGCATAGTAATTTATTAAAGGGGAGAGTAATCTTATGTATGCAGAACAGATAATACAACACATTCGTAAAAAAAATATCTATTTTGCTTAGTATTGCCATAATCTGTTCTCAATTGACTGTGATTTTTATAAATACCTTCAGTTGATTGATTGAATATTTTATTTTTGTATATATTTTACATAAGTGACTGATTGTATAAATCAGAGGTGTTTCGTACTTTTTTCGGTAAAATTGTAGGAGCATAATCTATAAGTGAAAATGAAAAAGAATGTTATATAAAGTTTGTTTATAAATACTTTGTTATACAGCAAATTTTGAATATAGTGTGAATACGTCTGTACCTATAAGATATTTCTTAATGTATAAGGATCGTAAATTGTCATTTTAAAATGATCATCTTTTGTATTAACGCAAGCTTGATATAATATAGAATTACTATGTCTTAAAATAAAATTTGTCTCAACAATTGACTTATTAATTCATTGAATTAATTATTCACGTGTACTTGCTGCAAACAAAATTTTTGATTTCAGAGATTTCAATAAGTAGATATCAGAAAGTATGGTAATCAAACTTCAAATCAATTCAATGTTCAATATTTTTCTGCAACTTCGTAATAATAAAGCGTTTAGAAATAATCTTTATATAACATTTTTTCTTATTTTCACTCATTTGGATTATGCTCCTATAGTTTTCCCGAAAAAGTAGGAGCATAACATTCTGTATTTCCTTTATTCCGACTTTTTAATAAATAAATAAAATAAATTTTATAGGAAATAATTTCATAAATTAAATAAATTTAATTTTTGAATTCATTAATTTAGAAAGTAACTATATTTTTGGCGCTATTGCATTAAATATGTTTTAAAGATTAGGAGAATATTTGTATTTTTTTGTTTTATAATTTCTAAGAATCGTTGATTACTAATTTTATCTGGATTCCACGATGCAATGTTATTTTAAAATAGTAAACTATTTTAAAATAGTAAACTATTTTAAAATAGTAAACGTTACAAAATAATACACTATAGTCAATAATTTGATTAATATCGGCAATCGGTAAAATTACTATGAATGACAATGACACATGTTAGACTGTGTGTCTCGAGATAAGAATCATATTGAGAATGCTTTTCTGATAAAAGCAGCACATAATAGTGTTATCGGGCATTTTCATATTTTTTACGCATCTTTTTATCTGATATTTCAAATAAAACAAAAATCATACTATATACTTGTTCTATTTAATCACATCCATTTATAAATCGGAAATATATGATTATTTATACTCTGTATCTTTGTAATATATGATTATTTTTACTCTGGTTGATTCGTTTATTAAGTAATAAAAACTTTTACGTGACAAAATAAATCTTGAAATATTTTGGATTGATTAAATAAGTTTCTTTTTTGTCTAGACTAAGTTTACATAAATTTTTTGAACATTCAATTTACGTCAATTTAAAATTTGGAACAATGAACATTTTTAGTATTTTTATTATTATCATTCAAGCGTTTTGTATCAGGAAGTGTCACGTGCAGAAATAATTCGACATTGTTTGCAGCATTATATTGATAATCTCTCATCATCATCAAATCATCGTTAATATCCAGAAAGTCGGCCTTAAATCATCACTATTGGGAAAAAATATGTTAATTGGAAAAAACTATCTTAAGTTAAGTGCAATTGACAAGATGGATATTAAATAATAATATTGGATATTTAAATGTCAAAGTAGAATTAGAGCTTTACCCGTGCGTTATTATACTGTCTATAAGAAACTAATACTCACATGTATCGTGATAACATCGTACGGTGAAAATAAAAGAATAGTAGACTGTAATATATTGCAAGATTTAGAAAATGATTGGAATGAAAAAATATTATGCATATGTAAGAAAGACTTATATATATATGCATAATGGAAAATAATTATGCATAGAAATATAAGTAAAACTGAATAGGTAGCCTAGTAGTAAGTAATTATTCCAAAAATACTTTTAAGATTCCAAAAATACTAAAATCACAATTCAGAATAAAGTAAAATAATTAAGCACCAAATCATTACAAGTTTTATTGAATATTATAAATTACTCATGGTATTCATTTTTATTAAATTAAAAGGAAATATTCCATAAAATAGGAAAAAGAAAAATAAGTTTTGTAACGAACCAAATGTATTATCGGTGTTGTTGGGAAACATGAAATACACTCGTCGTATATGAAACACTACGCAAAATTTTCTTTAACGAGCAGATGTTAATTCTTTCTTATCCTTAATATTTGCCACGCATGATTTGCTGTTGCTATCATAATTCATCTTTTACTTAGAACATTGCGAAACTAGAAAATAAATAGTATACTTTAAATACGAGTTCTTCATCGTTTACATTAATGATTTTTCTTTTTTCTTTTTTTTTTTTAACTAATTATATATATTTTATTTTGATAAAATGTAATATGATTATATAAAATGCAATTAATATAAATAGCTTTTAATAATACGTTGTTTAAATAAATATAATAATCTTATCTCCGCTATATTTTTGAAGTTCAAACACATGATCTAATCGATTTTTTTTTAAATTAATTAATCACAGTAACAACTTTCTTACACACACACACGCGCGCGCGCGCGCACACACACACACACACACACACACACAATATTTTTTTCATACAATATGCATTAATAAAATAAATACATATCTCTTATATCTTTATTCCACATTTGATCTATATTAACAATATTTTGTATTATACAATTGTGTATATGTGATCTTCCTATGTAATCTTCATTTATCTTCGTTCATCGTTTGCTTTCTATCTGGCCTGTGATTCTGCTATAAAGCAACAAAATATTTCAATGAAGTATATAATATATTAATAAAATACCTAACCTTTATATCTTCTTTTATGTTTTTAGTACATGCAAATAGAAAGTATTTTTTTAGCACACGTGCTATATCATGCATGAAACAATCGAGTGAATTTACTAAGCAATTGACGTCAATAAAGTATTATCGCCAAAAATTAAACAAAATTAAACAAAATTAGTAACTTACTAAAGTACTTGAGTACTTTGAATACATATGTATATATTATGTGAAATTTCGGTAGTATTTTAATTAAACATAACTATCACATTATATTAGTAAAATTTGAAATCAATCTGAAAATGAAGTTACAGAATATTTATTAAAAATGGCAGAAAAGTAAATGTAAAACGTGATTAGTCATACATTGGACACTAATAATAAATATTAAAGATCACTGCATAACCGATAATTGATTTAATTTAAATATTTTTGTGATCTTCACAAAACTTATGTTAAATATGGTATTTTGCTTTTGTACATTTTTAAACTTTACTAATATAATCACGATAGAGTCTCACGATTAGTCTCGTGCTAATCAAATTTCAAAATGTTTCGTATAATATTTTTTATAAACACAATATATTTGTAAAAAGTTTTTATAAGTATACGAATATCTTTAATAGTATAAGCTATATGTGTGTATTCTCGTTCAAGTAATCATGTTTTCACCTGCTCTCATTTGTGGATTTGATTAGTTCATCGATTTGACGTAAATCACTTGTCGCCACAGGGAAAGAAGTTAAATATCGGCATGCGATCTATCGGTAAGTTGTGCCGCGGGAAAGGTGAGCGATCGCCGATAGGCAAACAGAGAGGGGATAAATTCGTACACCAGAGTACAGGAGAGATACAGAATGGCACAGTATAACCGGGTGCGTGGCGCGAAACAGGTAGTGGTATAGTTTGTTGAAATAAGAGATCATTTTAATTAATCAGTTTTATCTAGAATTTATCAAATACGACCGCAAAATCGTATTTAACGAAACAATTAATATTTTCAATCAGTTTTCGATCTGATTCGATCACGATTGAAGTGTCTTCTGATATTTGCTATAAAAAAACAATTCAATATTCCGATACTGCGCAACTCGATATCAATCATTTTTAATTTTTATTTCGATATTTCCTTTTAATCCTTGGAGTTATTTAAAAGAAATAAAACTTCCGTCGCTCTTTATCGCGCGTAGCAATAATTCTTAATCGTAGTAAATTTATAATTTAATACCGATAATTCATAGTACGACAAGTCAAGGATTTTATTTTGTGAATCTTGCTTTTCTTATGAAAATATAATAGCGGAGAAAATTGCTCGATTAAAAGTTTACTGGGAATGCACGCATCCATGTACGCGCTTTGGACTACGTCCCCGTAAAAATAAAAGAATTAAATCAAAAGAAGATTACTAAAAATTCGAGTAAGTCACATTTCTTCTATTACAAACATTTCACACATTTTTACTACTCATTTTAGGCGTTACAGTATTTTATAGCATAAAATAACATATAATTTCCGATAAATTTTAATCAGTTTATAATATAATAATTACTTTCCGCGATAATAAATGGAGAATA